AGCTGAGTGTGAGACTGCAGAAGAGCACAACACGGTCCCTGCCCTGCAGTGCTGAGGGTCTGGAGACAGATAAACAATTTCAACATGCTCAGAGCAATACATCAGCAGAGGCCAACCAGAAGATGAGACTTGAGCAGTCTCGGGAGGAGATCACCAGGTGAAGAAAGGTTTTGTTTTAAAAAACACCCAGAATTTCTGAGGATCTCCTGACAGCAAACACGGAGAAAACAATTAGTCCAATCCAGCGTTCCTGTATGAGACTGTCCCTGCTGTCCCAACACTAGGTTTGCAGAGCTAACCTCCAACAGCACCTGGTGTGTCCACTAGGACACTGGTTTGAAGAAGACAGAGCAACTCTCAGGTCGAGGCCTCCGGGACATGTGACTATAAAGAACGGAAAACGCTTCAGCTGCCCACAGAAAGGACCCCGGGCAGGCAAGGCTCAGCCCTGGCGGCCTGCTGTACAGCATGTGGTAGCTCACCCTGGGCTAAGTCAGCTGCCTCTGGAGACCGTATCTGAAGGTTTCCCACCCACATTTCCTTAGAATGTATTCTTCATCTGTAACTTCAGATTTGCCAGGGTTAGGGACAAATGGAAAACTTGGCACTCTCCCATAGATACTGGTGAGAGACTGAAGGATTTCAACCTAAGATCAAAGACAGGCAACAAAGTCTCAACTTCTCTACACTATAACGAAGGTACAAAAAACCAAGAGAAAGAAAAGGAACACAGACTGGGAAGGAAAAAACTGCTGAGAGCTGCAGACGATGTGATTATAGATGTACAAAATCCTAATCATGGAGAACTAAATTTAGCCAGGTTACAGGATAAACAATCAAACAAAAATCAACCATTTCTAAGAGGCAGCAATGAACAACTTGATAATAAAAATTTTAAGTTCCATTTACAGCACAAACAAAAAATGAAAATACCTTATTTAATAAAACAGTGAAAATATAAACATGGCTGAGAAATTAAAGATAACCCAAATATATGGAAAGATATTATTTATGGGTTGGATTTTGTTAACAATTCTGTAAGTCTTTTTGTTTATTAAAAAAAAAAAAGTAAAGCAAGGGGCAAAATATTTCAATGTGAACCGATTTCTTATAAAGATGAATAGCCAGGGCTGGGGACTTAGCTCAGTGGTGCCACCTGCCTCACAAGCAGAAGGACCCCAGTTAGATCCCGGTACCAAAAACAAAACAAAACAACAATGAATAGCCAAAAAGCACATGAAAAACATGCCCAACATCACTAGAAATTAAGGAAATTCAAGTTAATATATCAGGAGGAGACATCTGCGCACACACCCGGTACTTGAGACTGAAATACAGTACTGAAAGTTAAAGGACTGACACTATTCAGTGTTGGCAAGGACAAGGAAAAGTGAAGCACAAAAGGGTCTTGCGATGCCGACTCTGTATTTCTAGCCCCTGAATTTTCCACAAAACCTAGCAAAAAGCTTCATGTATAGCCAGCTCAAAAACGCTTCCTGAATCGGGTCAGACAGTGAGTGATAGGCAGAAGTTCCTGGGAATGACAGACTACTCCAGAGGCGCCGGCCACAGAAACGTGGAAAACAGTAAAGAAAGTCAGATTACTCGTGAGGCCAGTAAAGCCGACTGTCCCAAAAGGGACTGCATCGAATACACTCCGTGAAGTCACCATCCACTGAAAATACGCGAAAACTTATGCAAAGTTCTTAGACTGGTTTTAAAAATTAATTCTGTGGTTCTGAGCAGCAGCACCCATGCTGTGTGAATCACCCAAGGTCTGCTGAGAGGGGACAGCATTTGCATGGCCATGATGCGGCCAGATGCAGAAGAGCGTCCTCTCTCGGCCCTGCAGGAGACAAGACTCACACAAGGAGGAGCTCATCAGTCTGCCCAAAACTGGAAAATGAAACAAATCCATTGTATGCAATGGTTTGCTGTCTTCAGGAGTTAAACTGTTGAAGATGCCTAGGATGCAGGGTATCACCCCAGCCACACCACATGCCTTTTCTAATTGGCACCTGGAAAGATTTCACAGGAAGAAGGTGTTACCTTTGGCATTGTTGATGTAAAGGTTATCTAGCCACAGTGAGGCAGAGGAGAATTCATCTTCAAAATTCACCTTCTTACTGAAAGCCCATGGAGTGCCTTGGCAATTAACAATTCCTATCACCTATAGCTGTCCCCTATGTGAGAAGGCTCAGAACTCGCCTTACAAATTGCTCTTTTGAAGATCAAAGGGAGGCTGAATGTGTCTGTGTGTGTCTGTGTGTGCTCTCGATGAGACTGTAATTTAATGGAATTTCTAGAGGAGGCTTCACTGCCAGTGCTTGGATGACAGCCCCAGGCAGAGGATTCAGGGGACCTCGGGCCACTCTTCCCTTCGGAGCATCTTCCCTGCCTTTAATTGGCACCTCATTAGAAATTAATGAAAACGACATCCTCTGTTCTTCCTGCTCTAGGCATCGAATGCTACAAAAAGGCCCATCACAATTCATAACACATTCAATTTATATAGCAATGGCTCTTAAGCATTATTTATGAGATGTGAATTTCTTGTCAGCAGTTAATAACATGTACAGAGTGGAAGGGGGATGGAAGATTGTGGATCTGTATAAAAAGAGATTTTCTCCAGCGAAGAAGTGTTCTGTTTGAGTTCAAACCACCTTCCTGAGTCTTCACTTTCAGTAGTGAATGATTGTGGTCCCCTCCTTCCCAAAACCTTTCAAGGCCGTTAATGTCTGTCTCTCCAACACTTCGTGCATCCTCAAGGAAATAGCCATGCAACTTACCCGCTCCTCGATAGAGCCAAGCAGGCACACAGGAGAAGCCTAAGAGCTATTTGTCAAAAGCAGTCTCACAGGTGTATGCCCCACTCCTGTCCTTCATTTTTTAAAGTGTGGCAGTTGACTCGGTCATTTCGCTGGACCCATAGTTTAAGACTTTTGCAGACCAAACTAACTCTCAGCTCTTGCTCTGAGAGGGCTCCCTCCATCTAACGAAAGCGCAGAGCTTTCTTCCTCAACAAAAAAGCCAAATTTCCCTTAAGTAGACTCTCAGAATTGGGCACAAGACTGAACCAAGCGTTAGTTCACTGAAAAAGAATGCAATTCTGTGGCAAACAGATAGCCTCCCACCCATGGATGAAGCACACGGCAAAGTAAGCCCAGACAGTTTGATAGTCAAAGCTGGCTTCACTGAGGACACAAGAAGTCATCTAACAACGGCTTCTGGGTTTTTTCAGCAGGGTACCTGGACCTTGGGAGATTAGGTCAAAGGTGAAAGGTAAACTGGGAAGCTCATTTATACCACCTCAGGGTCTCAATGCTACGCTCAATTCTCATGGGTCTGACCAGGAGAGGAAGCATCAGCCACTGCCAGAGGCAAGACAGCACGCTTGATGGACCAACAGCTTCATCTGCTATGGCAAATCCTGTGTAATACCCACGATTCAGTTACTTTCAAGAAAGCAACGAGAACATAAGGTACAGAAAAATCCCACAATTCTGAGGAGCAATAACCAAAACCTATGTTATAAAGGCAAACAGGCAAAAGGTCCAGGAGGTTTCACAACACTGCTAAGAAACTGAACTGCTGAAATTCTCCAATCATTCATGAACATGGAAGCAAGAATTCACAGACCTCAAAGGATTAGACCCTTCGGTACGGGGCCAAGTTGGTTACTATCAGGGCTTACAGCTTCCTTAGCTAACCATAGTATCCTTGACCTAAGAATTAAAACACAGCCTAAGCACAAGGTTCTGGCCTCACTTGGACCACACCACCTGCATGAGACAACTGAAATTTGAAAACTGCTAACTAGTGCTCTGCTCCTACCACTTACCTTAACCCTCTTCTTTACACTTTCCCATAAGCATTTAACTGTGTAGCGAATGCCCTGAAAGAGTCCATACTTCCCTAGACATCTCCCAAGTGCTCCTTGCTCCTACAGTTGAACATGTGCTTCTAACCCTGTGGAGCCACACACACAACAGTGTAACAGACAGACAGACACCTGGTCTTTCCAGAGCAAGTGTTCCCACTTAGTTCCCATACGCTAGCACTCCCCCCACCTTGGCCATTTCCAAAGGGCAGACAATTGAGGGACAGGAGCAGCAAAGGCTAACTCTTAAGACAGAGAACTTCCAGGGAGTTTAGGCCTCACCACGACCACCACCACACTTGTGGGTGGTCCATGGCCATCCTCGAGGTGAAAGGGGGCTTCTAAAGCTAACAAGAGACACCGGGTTCTCAGAAGCTAGAGCCAGGTGCAAAGTCGGCCTGATGACAGCTCTGTTCCCAGGGTAAGTTTATAATATCACACTTTAAAATCAGGAAATAAAAACAGGAGCAAGAAAAATGTGCATCGGACTAAAATAATGGATTTACACAATTTTACCCCGCTACGACATGGTAAGAACACGGGCTGAATTCCAAGTTTTGTTCCACTATGAGTAGGCATAAAGTTTTAAACCTTCTGCAGCAATCCCAAGAGGTGGTATTACACTGGAGAATCAAGAGGAAAGGTTACTTTCACAGTAATTCCAGGTGTTAACTCACTAGCTAAATTACAGTTTAAAGAAAATAATTTTCTAATCAAATCTAGAAGGGGATATAGGGAAAATTCTTTTATTTATCATAAATATTAAGACACTCCTTCAATACTAACTTAATACCTGAAAGTTTTGGTTTGTATCCCACATTTCCTGATGTGGGTCATTTTTTAAGTGATGAATACAAGAAACCAGAGTTACATAAGGGGTAAGGAGACACTGAAAGCACAGAGTAGTGATAAAGTAACTCAGTATGTCAAAGAGCAATTGGGGAATGCTTCTTTTGTTTTTGGGTTTTTGTCTGTGTGAGAGGAGATGGAGGTGAGAACCCTGCAGTCTTAATCTTCCGGGGAGGAAAGGAGGACGCGAGCCCCTTTGGGATAAGCTCCAAAGCTGTGCTGGATAGGGTGTAAGGGTGTAATCTCCACCGTACCCTGCGGAGACGCTTACCACAGCGACACGATCCCAATTCCTGCTGCACCAGCTCCAGCTTGGTTTGGCACTGGAAGCACCGACGCCGGCTCTTCTGTTTAGATCGGCTGGTTTCCTCAGACCGCTCGGTACTCTCCAGTAGTCGGGGACGTTTCACTGGTGAAGCCTCATTCTCAGACTGTGAATCTGATCAAACCACACATTTGGAGATCAGTATTAGTTCTTGGCCTAGCAAGCACAACTGATGATATACTGCCAAGCACCACCCCTGTCTAGGAAGGAACTGTGTGAGCAGAGAGCAGGTTTGTTTTGTGTTTTTAAAAGATAGGGTCTTTCTATATAGCTCAGCCTGGTCTCAAACTTTTAGTAATCCTCCTACCTCAGCCTCTCTAATGCTGGGATTATAGGTGTGCACCACCATACCCAGCAAGAGGGTTTATGATACACAATGTGTAGGGCTGGGGATTCAGCTCAGTGGTGCTGCCTTCTGCCTCTAAAGCACAAGGTCCTGAGTTCGATCCCTGCTACCCCCCACAAAAGATTTCCTATAATAATACACAGTTTATAATAATCTGTTTATAATATACAGTCTGAAGCAGACACCTTCAAGGTTGACTTCTGATCATCTAGGGCTGAAGTAGAAAGGAGAGAAATGTGGGGATGGCTCAGTAAATCAGTTCTACGCTGTTGCTGTTTTTAAAAATAGCTAAGTTTTCATGAGGATTCTATTTCAGCTAGAAATGGGATCCTCCGTCTGAACCCTTTCTTTGGAGCCTAGATGTTTACTGCTTGCATTTGTTTATTTACCTCTTCTTGGGCATTTGCTTGTCCTCGAGTGGCCTGTAGTCCTTTCAGAGAAGAGACTGTAATGCACGCTTCCACCACTGAGCTTAGCACAATGCCATATTCAAAACCAGTCTCTTTAGGACATATAACTAATCTTTCTATCAAAATCACTCGTTTTACTTCCAAACACACAAGAATAAAGTTCTAATACTGAAAATAATCCCACAGCTATTCAGAGGAGCACCCCTGCGTGTTCACCAGCAGCTGTCCAGTGCCTCCACGTTGGACGTCACACAGCCAGCAACTGCAGCCAACCCAAGGGCTGTGCCAAAGTGGCAGGTGAGGGAGATGTGCGACGACTTGCATCTTACAGCCTTGAAAAAGTAACTAAAATGCAATGAATTCAGATCACAGGCAGGCTATAAACACTGCTTTCAAATAAAGGGGGAGCTCTGTGCTCCACAGAAGCCACTATGGCATACTGAGGATGTGGTCTTGAAAATAATCCAGAGGCGACCCCTCTCCCCTCTTCCACACCCCGCGCCACAGTCTGAGCCATCACCACCCACCCCACCTAGCACAAGCGCCTCTTAACTGGTCTCCCTGCTCACCTTTTACCTCCACAGCCTATTTCCATGTAGCAGCCAAGCGACCCCATGTTAGAATCACTTCTCCGCTCAAAACTCTCTGAGAGCTCCCCTTCCCAGAGTAAAAGGTCCTGCACAATCCGCCCTCCCCTTGCTCCTGTCTCCCTGGGCTCCATCACATTAGCCTCTTGTGTCCTGCATCTGTAGCTTTGCACCTTCTGTTCCCCCCTCTGAAGTACATGTCACCCGCTGTTACATAAGACCCTTTCAGTCTCTGCTTCAAAGTCAGTTTCAGTGGAAGTCTTCCAGGATCACCCTCCCTAACACCCCCACAACACCTCCTGCCTGACAGTCCTCTCCATAGTTTGTCCCTTAAGGTTACCCCTTAGGTGAACGTAAGTTCTAGGAGGGCCAGAAATTCACCTGCTTTCTTCGGTGATGTTCCCTTGATGGCTACAATGCAATAAACCTTTCTTGAATGAAGCATGAATGAATCTTCTCCTGACTTTCCATGTAAAGTGCTAGAGTTGAGAAGCCACAGTGTGTCGCACGTATCTTAGTGTCAACTGTCTGTATGCCTTTCCCCAGCCTCCCGGGGCGAGATCTTCACCCAAGATCACCCCTACCTCCAACAGAGGGGGGCAGTTTGCTCAAAGACCCAATCCTTGTGCACTGGCATATGGATGCCCTGTGCCGTTCTGAGCGATTGCAAACTTCATTTTTCATCTCATTTAATTCCTGCAGCCCTACATGACATTTTCCTCCAAAACAAGCCAAGTAAATAAGGACTTTGATGAAAACAATTGAAAGCGAGTTCAACCTATTTCCCAGCTCTGCTGAGCGAAACTCTCCAGACCCCATCAGTGTGGCTACTGCAACCAGACAGGCTGGCCCCTTCCCCTTCTTGTTCTTCTTCGAGAGCAGCAATCTAAATGTAAATCATTAGAAAGCAGTCAGCAAAATGGAATTCACCTTGCATGAGCCACACTGCTGTCCTGGGGGTCCTTTTCCACAAATCAGCAACGGCACTATTTGTATTAATAACCCTATTTAGATATACATTTTTGTGTAACAAGAAAAAATATTCTTGAGTAAGAGCCCCAACAGAAAGTATCCATCCTGGGCCCTAAATTTAAATCATCCTTATAAAAAATTATAGTGATACCTTGGTTCACGAACAATTTGGCTCACAAACAGAACTGTTTGGCAAAATTTTATTTTTGTCTGTGAACTCTGCATCAGGTGACTAACATAACCACAGCCGTCTTTCCCACACAAACACAAATGTGGTCATCTTTTCCAAAATCATAGAACAAATTAAGTTCGTGAACTGAGGTACCACTGTATCCTCCAGCCTGGGTAACAGGACTGGGAGTTAGTTAAAACATTTTTATTATTAACACTATCAAAACCTGGAGGGTCATAGCATGCTGACAGCACTTCTAATATAACAGAGGATCACTCTGACCCCAAGACTCTTCCTTCACACCTATGACAGAAACAAGTGTGTGTATGGAAATGTGGTTCACTTTCCCAGCTCTTCTGCTAAGTCTGGCCTCACCTGTCAAATGTACTGTCTACCTGCAAAGCATCTACTTCCATTTGTAACGCAAACCTTTGCTGCAAACAAAATATAATTTAATTTTAGGTAGCAATAAAGCTGGAAGGAAAGGGGTGAGGAGAAGGGAGAGGGAGGGAGGGAGACGGGGAAAAAACTCTTCAATGTGATGTACAGCTAACTATTTTCAAATAAACAAGAGTGGTATATGACAAATGTTTAATTGTGTGATCCCTCTGAATGGGAAATAGAATTCATATTTACATACTCATAACCACCAGCTGTTCAATTCCAAACAAGTGCTTTAATGAGATTCCCAACAGTTAGGAGGTCTGTACTGCAGTAACCTCCTCTTCTTTAATTCCCCACCTTATCTGATCAACAAGTATCATCAACAATAGCAAAGAATAAGTCTTATGGCTCTGTGCTGAGACTGTGCTTTATCCATTCCATATTAACGTCAGTACAAGTGAGTATTTGTTCTGGTAGGTAGTGGGTATGGGAAATTCCTGAATGGGTCCAGGGCAGGTTCTGCTTGCGCTGCATTGGCCGTCCTAAAGGAACCCACTGAGCTCTAGTTGGTCCTCTGAGTCAATGTCCCGTATCTGTCCAAGTGCACAACCAAAGGGTCCATGTAAACAAAGTCTGAGCTGTAAGAAGTCCTAAAATATTCTACACCAAGAAAAAATATATAACACAGTGTGTTGTATTTTTAAAATCAAGGAACTATTTCTAGACATTACAGAAATCCAAAACTTTTAAGCTCTGGAATGTGACCATATACGGTTCCTTCTATCGATGGTCTATTCGACGGAAGGAAATTCTTACGCCCTTTAATGCTCTTTAACAAGAAAGGGGGAGGGAATTAAGCTCCCAAAACTGTTTACCAGTCTCCACATGCTGCCAGGCAGGAAGGTGACTATATTATATATAAATTCTTGGTAAAGCAAACCATTTATTGGCATTTTCTCACAAGTCATCTTAGAGTTTAATTAGAAGCTAATGAAATAAATAGCAGTCTACAGGAGCACCACCATGGCTGCATAAGAAATTCACATCTCCTCTGCTAATTACTTAATGAAACCTTGTGTCATGGGGTAACTGCCTTAAATAACGGAAACAGATGTCCAGGGCAAGAATTCTAACTACATAATCATGAACTAAATAATTCAACTATTCAATTATAAATTTTGTATCAATTATAAAAGAGTATCAGAAAAGATCCAAACGTGGTTAACATTAAAAAGAACCATCTACCATCCATATTAGAATAAATGAAACTGTAATTATTTACTTTTTGCTCACAAATATTATTCCTAATCCCTGAAGCAGTTTCAATTTTCTGAACAATGACACAGAACCTAATTAACTTACTCGCATACACTGAACTTGGACAGTAAGGGTTAAATGTGGAGAGAAAGGTGAACAGAAATAACTCTTACGTACAGCTTTAACTGTCAGAAGAAACAAGTCCTTGCAAGGAGCATGCTCATTAGCAGCAGGAGGAGCTGCAGTGGCAAAGCTAGAAACTGTTCCCACCCCAGGAGTTGAGAGTGACTTCTAATTAAGGTCTTTCCAAAAGAGCCAACAAAGCAGTTTTCTTTCCTAGTATGCTTTCTCTTGAGAACATAATCTAGTCTGGGTATAACCACACAAAGCTGACACACTCCCCTATCAGGTTCACAAGGCCCTTCTTTCTCCGCCAGTGTTTAGTAGAAGGACAAGGACACTACATCAGACCCTCCAGTCAAAGGAAAATGTGATCAAGGATCATGTGATTCAACAAGGTACGAAAATCTTAAGAAAAGCAGTCTACCTATCAGCTTTCTTGATCTGAAGGTAATCATTGCTTAATTTGTAACAGAGAAACAAGAACAATGCTTTTAAAAACATAACCCGCTCTGGTGGCACTGGGATCGAACTCTGGACCTTATGCTTGTGAGGCAAGTGCTACTAAGCTAAATCCCAGGCCCAAAAACATACTCTTCCAAGAGAAATTCTTATTTATGCATTCCTTGTCAATTGCAAAAAGTAGCATGGAGACTTTCAATTTAGGGACACATTTTAACTGGAGAGCTTGACTGGAGACAACAGACAGAATTTTTAAAGTAGTAGCTCTGTTTAGTCTCTGACAGAAATTCACATTTGTTCCTTACTGTCATTGTTCTTGTCTTTATTAGTCTTGTTCTCTCCTGAAAATTTCCAAATATACTGTGTCAGGTCTGTCAGAGCTGAATCCCAATCTCTTGTAATCT